GGGATCTAACCCAAAAAGATACCCCCAAAGCACAGGTCGAGGGAGATAGAGTTTATCAGCATTGGTTTTCCTTGCCTTGGCAAGCCCAGCTCCAAGCAGGCAATGGAGCAAAATGTCCCTTCCGACCGACAAAATGTCCCGTTTGTAGCTAAACACTCCGGATCGTGTTTCAGCGCGGAGTCAAATTAGGAGGGACTCTCTCTGTCACGCAGCCCGTGTCTTCTGTTCACTCGTGGAAAGGAAGGACAGCGATGTAGTGTGGCCTTTCTTTCTTTTTTTTTTTTCCTTTCCTTTCCTTTCCTTTCCTTTCCTTTCCTTTCCTTTCCTTTCCTTTCCTTTCCTTTTTTTTTTTTCTTGGAAGCCATACACAAATTATGCAAATCGACCCAAAAGCAAGGGCTCGCCTTTTGAAATGGTAATCCTCTGTTCATTAAGCACTTATTGGAAAACTCGCCGCCCTTCCTGCGCTCCTCTCTTCCTCCCCTCCCCAACCACTCTGCATCACAGCCCCCCAACCTTCCCCCCCCAACCCATCTTGGGTGGCTCTTTTTCTCTCTAAATAAAGAAATGAATGTAAAAAGAACTGTATATTGGCAGAGAAAGAAAAAAAGTAAAACTATTGGGAAAGATACATTATAAAAAGATAGATAATATTTTGCTCTCTACCAGCTAGGCTGTCTCAATTCCCTATTATTATCATTATTATTATTATTATTATTAGGAACCGTGATAGCCGAACTGTGAGAGAACAATCCTAAATATATTTATTATTTCCAGCGCGATGGCAAGTACAAATGCACAGGCACCACCCTTCGCCTAATCAAAAAACTTGAAGGCAGAGGAAAAGATCCCTTTTACAAACCCAGCCAATGGGAAGTCGATCCCACAGTGACCCAGGCGACTTCCTTCTAAATCGGATTTGCTCAGGGCAGAAGCAGAGAAACCCGCACATCTGGGTTGTCTCCCATTGAACCCACTTCAGTGGGAAAGAGACCAAGAAATGTTGTGTGTTCCCGACTGTATAAGGCAATAGTTTTAAAAAGAAAGGGAGGGGGTTATTTTTATGCCCCAGATGTCATCACATAGCTCCTTGCTTTTGTTGACGAGATCAAAATCATCTTCCGCCCCCAATACGGATTTCCTCACCTTCCAGATCTAGATGATAAACAACAACAGCCACAATAATAGTAATAATACAAGGGAAGCCACGTTTCGCCGACACTCCTCCACTTTTGACGGGGAAGGAAGGCACCTCGATGCCCTTCAAATGAATTTTGCATCCCCCAATTGTCAGATGCTTCGGAATAAGGAGAATATAACCTAAGGAGAATATAACCACTGTTAGGTGCAGACCCTAC